TATATCTTTCATAAAAATTTTAATTAAAATAAATAGTTTAAATTATTGCAATAATATTATCTATATCTATAATTCTCAAAGTGTGTGTGTGTGTGTGTGTGTGTGTGTGTGTGTGTGTGTGTGTGTGTGTGTGTGTGTGTGTGTGTGTGTGATCTGATGTTGTTTATGCGTTTCCACTGTTTTCATCTGATTTCGATGAATTTTTTTTTGTGTGTGTTTGTTTCATAGATAATTCTTCAGTGACGGTTTGGCTGGAAAAAATTACAACCTGGAAGGTGAAAAATCGAAAAAACTGATTTTTTACATCAAAGGCAAAATTTAATTTACTTTTTCACACATAACCTTCCAATTCTAGTTCATGTTGTGTGGTCGTGATTCACGCCTCCGCTGCACGAAGGACCTTTACACGTCCAATCAAATGTCGCCATGTCATACTGATTGTCTATGTAGTCCTAAGTTCATTGCTACCACTTAATTCTGCAAATTCCTTTTCTACGTCCAGTCCTGCTTACACATTCCCTTCTCTTGGCCAATCATTCAATCTCTCTCGAGTGGGGTTAATTTTTCCGTTGAATAAAGCCTACTATTACAGTTTTAAGGTGTTGCTTTCATTGCCGTTCCCAATTTAAGTTTTTGCATTGCATTCACCGTAGTAATAAGTAAGTTTCCTTTTTTTATTACTCAACATTTATTTTTCCAACCTTCCCTAATGTTATTCGATCCCTGTAGCTTTACAACGTTCTCTTCTGATATTTGCCCACGCATTCCATTTGACAGTTCATACTTGCCTAAGTAATGCCACCAAAGAAAAGAACTTGCCTAAGTCGCAAAACCGCTGCCACCAGGTCTGCTATGCGAATAAGAGATAACGAATCGTCTTTAGAACGTTCAGTTTGCCTGTCTCAAAATGCCTCGTGGAATGCTTCAATCAGAATCCGAAGATCAACGTAGCCACCGGCTTTCCAGAAGAGCATACCTGAATGCTTTTGCGCGCTAGGATGAAAATGATGATCAAAGAACTCAACGGCTGAGGAGAAACGCCTCTTCAACTGCTGCTGCCCGTGAGGCTGAAACAAGACTGAGAACACAAAAACGGCCCTTTTCAGGGTCACCCCCTACATTCAAATTGTTATAAAATTTGGAGATGTTCCTCAGTTGCACCCAATTGTTGTTACTAATATTGATTTTCGGGTGGGTTGACTTTAAACTTAAACTGCTCCAACTAAATGACAAAAATTCCCAGTAATGAAACACCCGATCGAAGACGGGTTATACTGCCAGTATAATTTCTTAACTGCTTTTGTAACCCATGTAATTAAATGTGGGATTTTCTGTATTTTTCGGACAATATGATGTGCTCGTATTTTGAAGAAAAAGTTTTTAGGAAAAGACATCTACAGCTGTAATTGAAAGATTTTTATAGAACAAAAATTTAATCTTGCTTTTTGCTCACTAGCTTTTCATGTAAAAAATTATGTGCTTAATATAACAGTGAAATGGAAAAAAAGATTAACAAAAACAGCGCTAACAAAGCCTATTTCAAGACCAAGTTGGATCTAGATGATCACTTAATAGACAAAGTTAACTGAATGCCTCACATGAAAGGCTTGAAAGAATAAGACTGCAATCTAAGAAACGTAGAAGTAAAGGAACTGATTAATTTTGTTGGGGAAGTAATTTTATCTGGATGTAGATGAATAAATTATTAAAAGAACCAAGGGAAGTAAACACTCAAATTTACTAACTTAAATTGATTTACCTCTCTTCCCACCACAGATAGGACTGGAAATATATAAATAAATACACATTGATAATTATTATATGGTTTGATGCTTAATTTACTCCCATTTTATTAACCACTGGATATATCCCCGTATTATATATTGGGCAAAATCAAATTCGTTAATCAACTTCGTGCGTTCTAATCTTAAAATGGTTATCCCAAAACTTTCGGTATTGTTTTTTCGTTGGGTTTACAGCATTTGCTTATTATGCATCAACTCTTTATTCTCTTTTCTTATAACGTATACATATGTTGGAACTTAAGAATGCAATATACACGTTCATTCTCTGTACATACGTAGGAATATCAAATATATTTCTACTTATTTTCTTACATGTACTTGAATTATGTTAAATGTTGCAGAGTTCACTTAACGCCACTTTAACCATCTCTCATTCATATTCCGCTGGAACCAATCTCTTTAAGGAATTTAGCTGTTTTATGATGGGGAAAATGCCTTGGTTTAACTAATACACAAAAAATAGACTGATGGCAAAACAGTATATTATTAAAAACAAATTTATTGAAGCTTTACTTTCATTAATATATTTAACATACAACTTTTATCATACTCAAACATATATGTTTTTTTTTTACTTATTTATCTCAATACACCTACAAAATCTTAATTGAAAGTTTCAAAGTAACAGTTAATCAAAATGTTCGTGCGGTTTTTCAGTTCGTATACATTTTAAGCAATATAAAACGTATTTATATAATGTACTGACAGATAATTTTCAGTAACGTATACTTACAATAGTAATGAGAGATTGTTTATCGTGCGAATTTAAACTTTGAATATAAGCAACAGAATCAACTTATAGATGATTTAAAGTGTTTGGTGAAGGTAATGACCTTACTGCTGAAATGTGGTTTAAGAGGTTTTCAACGGTAAATGAGTCACTCGAAAAATTATCTACTTCCAAGCTAAATCCGTTGACAAAAGAAATAAGAGAAATTGCACGAACTTTTTGAGTTACCTGATAATTTCCTCTGTTCAAATGGGGCTATTTCCAAAGTTATAGCATACTGTAAAAAAAACACTTTAATTATTATCTATATTATTACTCTGCTTGTAGTATCTGCTAGATATCTTCTGAGTTGAAATGAGTTAAGCTTTCTGACCAAGAAAACTTATAAAGCAATAATGAATTAAGAAAAGTGAAGGAGAGGATGACGTAAAATCAATGTGAAAAAGGAAATGTAGGAGATTAGAAAAACGAGAAGAAATCAAAGTGAAAGGTAAATATATACACATAGAGAGAGTGTGTGAAGAAGAGACGGGGGAGAAAGAAAGATAAAAAGAAACAAAATTGCTTATTGTATATAAAGAGAGAAGGAAAACTTAACAGGTACGTCGAAATAGAAAGGTGATGGAATAAGGTACAAATTGGAAATATTCATAAATTTGACATGATTCGCTCTTTATTTAGCTTCATCACAAAGACTATAAAAAGGTATAAAAATTGGGATACATTAAAATTATTAATGGAAACACATAGCAAAAGAATGATAAATAAAAGGCTGTAGTAGAAATTATGAATTCGTAATTCCGGTTTTACGTATGAAACTAATCTATGTTTTTATAAAATGTAAATAAAAACATGAACTTTCAGAAAAGATGAGACAGAGAATGAAGAGATGCAAACAAAATTATTGATGTGTAAGATATTCTATCATATTAGTTGTTAACACATGTGGAAATTCAACAGGTTCAAGTGACATGACATTATTAAACTTTTTTTTCATTTTAGATGAAAAGCAAATATTAAATAAAAAAGGGAGATTGTAAAATACATAGAATAGAAATTAAATAATAGAATAAAAAAGATCATAAGATACGCAGATGACACAGTACTTATAGCAGACACGGAAAAAAAATTACAAAACCTCCTGGCAAAGGTGCGCGAGAAGGGACTAAACATAAACTATAAGACAGAATTTGTCATAAATTTGACTCTGAGGTGGACACTGAGGTCAACACCGAGCGGCAAAAGTTCTGTTTCATACTTGAACACAATCATCAGCTCATCCAGAAGAATACCTTCAAGTATGAAACAGACTGTCGCTGCTCGTGTTAACCTCAGTTATATATATATATATATATATATATATATATATATATATATACGCACAATCAAAATTTAAATGTTCAACTACTTTCTTTTAATTCGGACTTGTGTTTTAACAGAGGACAGAAAGTGCGACACTGAAATCCGAAGGCGTATTGGGATAGTGAAAGAGGACTTCCAAAAGTTCAGCAAAGTATTAAGAAACGGAAAAAAATCGTTAGAAACAAAGAAAAGATTACCGAACTGTTATGTAATATCATTCCTCGTTTAAGGCAGAGAATGCTGGACACTCTCCTCACAGATGGAGAGGAGACTAGAAGCAACAGAAATGTGGTTCTACAGAAGGATACTGAGAATACCACGAGTCAAACATGTGAGCAACGACGAAGTTTTAAAGATAATGGAAACAATGGGCACTTATACTTAACACCAGGAAGACACAGTCAAAATTTCTAGGGCACATAATGAGAAAAGAGGGCTTGGAAAATTTAATACTCACTGGACAGATTGAAGGGCAGAGGAAAACAATGTCAAACCTAACTGTGAGTTCGAGTAAATGGATGACGGATCAAGGTTTATCGAGAGATAACAAAAAGATAAAAAAAAATATTAAGGGCTACAAAGGACAGGAAATTGTGGAGAGCCATGATAGCCTGAAATCACATAGAAGAGGTTTCGCAGATGTGGTATCCGTTTATCATGATGTTAGATAGTAATTTTATTTGTTACTATTCAGACTCTGTTTTTTAATGGGGAGCACTTTAATTACGAAGACTGCTTGCCTAAAATAAAATATTTGATCGTTAATTTTTTCTTTGTGCCAAGCAATATTTTCTTTTGTTGCTGTTGTTGTTGCTGTTATAGTTTTGACAGTGTCTACAAGTTTCCTTTCAAGAATCCCTTTTTTCTATGACGTAATTCAGCCATAATTATTATAATGAATTAATTTTATGATAGTATGCTATAAGCTGGATGATCACCTCAATTTATTTAGAGAGAAAAAAATCAAATTATTCATTTTTTATATTGGCAATAAATGGCATTGGCTTGAAAATAGTTCTGCTTTTTTATTTAACTCATCAAAATAATTATCTACAATGTGACAGGAATTTCTTTTCTCGAACATTCACTTACAGCAAATATTATTATTGTCTAAGACCACAACTCCATTTGACCACGATTCCTTGGTATTCACCTAAAGATATACTGCTCGTATCAATAATCTCTCCAAGTAGCGTCTCGTCATTTGCTGAACTTGGTGTTAGAAGTTCTACTTTTGCATCAGAACTAACACCACCTGGCCCCGAAGCAAAATTTCGTGTTATTGTCTTATTGCTTAAGTTGGCAGCAACAAGATAGCTGAAATGAGAGATTTGGAAATGTTATTGAACAATTTTTTTAAAAAGATAAACGTATAAACGCAAAAAAAAATCTCCGATCTTTGCATGAATAAAAGATAAATCTTTGAATAAATCATTTGCACATATTTTGAAACCATTTTTATAAACGATAAATACAACCTACTAAAGATTAAAAGTTGAAATTTAACCAAAAGCTTTGAATGTCTGGCAAAACACGTTCAGCACAATTCAACATATCTGAACTCATGTACGAATCTCCATTAAAATTATTTTGTGACTAAAACTAAAGAATTTATTTTATCATCCAAATTCTCTTAATTCATGACGCTGTTTATTCTCTTAATTGTTCCTACTTACTACCATTGACAAGTCACTCCTTGAAGCACTGATTTCAAGAATCGCAATCACGATAAAAGTATACAAGCAGGATACAAGTTATACAAACAGGAGATCGAAAGTATACAAGCTATCTACCATTTAACAAAATAAATGGATGAACAAAACAGACCCACTCATAAATGTATTATCTGATTCAAGAATGCTTAGAGAAGGGCCAGATATTCTAAGCGTTGGGTACTGATAAATTACTCTGATTCTAATTAAATTCGAGACATCAGGTCAGTTTATTTTGACTTGGTTTGTGTGAAACAGTTACTGATGTGGATTTTAGCAGCAAGTGAATTTATAACTAGTGACAGTTTGGATTGGGAACTGCTGTGTTTGAAATTTACCATGTAGGGTAAATTACACGTGGTAGAAGGAAAATCAACGCGTATAGTGAGAAGTCTAGACATCAGCACCTGGACGCGGTGCCGAGAAGGAGATTTGTACCCCCACCCTTGCATATAGTCCAAATTGTTCCCAATATCGAATTATTGAACACTGGAGCCTATTTTGATTTCTGTATAATTTCTATTTCTATATTTCAGACAAAATGCATTCAAATTACAAGAACAGAAAGATTTTATCTATTTTTCTATTAGTTAATATTTCCCACATTGTAAAAGCAGAATATGCCGCTGTGTTTATTTATTATCATTAAAATTTTTATGGCATGGGGTGCGTTTTGTAGGTCCCCCCCCCCACACACACACACCTTGAGAGAATGCGATATTGTGGTGTATGGAGGACTGACTGGTGACGGACGAGTTTTTATGGTGAATGTGGAAATTGTAATGAGTGAATGGGTCGTGAATCAGATTAGCTAGGTATAGGATAGTTAGTGCCGACCAGCCTCAGCCCATTCCCATTTCAGGCCATGTACCAAAATTGTATTTTTTGATACAATAAATATTTATATGCCGCTGCGTTTGTGGCATAAAGTCATTTTCCCTTTACGACAAGCGCCCGGCTTTATTTTCAGTTTATTTTTTTATGTTACCGAAAACAGATCATCGTATAGCAACTTCTAAAATTCTACGATACAACGCTCTGAATCGACAGCTTTTAAAATCTCTGATAAGGCAGCATACACTTAAATTCCAAAAACCTCACATGGAATAAATGTATACTTGCAGCATACGAAAGACATCTCCCCTTCCCAATGCCGTACAGGTCCTTTATTGACTGTAATTATGACCATCTAAGCTAAAGGTGAAACAGACCGTAACAGTCAGGAAAGAGAGAAAAATGAAAGATTAAAACGTGAATACGGGAGTAAAATCTCACAAGCAAAGTAAGTATTGCATAAATTTTACACACACTGATGATTCCATCATCTGTGTTTATTTATTTTTCTATGTTTTACGAAAAAATATTTGTTGAAATTGAAGGAAATGCCGACACCAGCAATCGGTCGTTATGAATTTACAAAGTGCTTTTAAATACACTTCTTATAAAGTAACTATTGCGGGGACCTACCTACAAATGGATTCTTCCACACCTATATAATATGGCTACCAACTCTGAATAAGAGGAGTCACCAAGTGAGGGTTACCGAGTAGTAGCTGTAGAGTGAGTGAGTGAGTGAGTGAGTGAGTGAATGAATGAGTGAGTGAGTGAGTGAATGAGTGAGTCAGGACACCAGTGAGAGAAAGTACTCTCCAGTCCACATTTACCTTTGTACTACGTTTCCGAGAATATACTATTTAACCTTATATCCGAGTCCGTGTTATCTTTCTATGGTTCTACACCATAACACTAACTAAAAATGAAAATGAAACCAACTTACTAGTCGGTACTATCAAAATCAATGTCCAATTCAAATTTCTGTGAGAGTTAGTCCTTGGGGAAGGTCAATGAACACAAAGACCAAAATCTTATAACAATAACGTCAAAGTTTATCTCTTTATGCTGCCAAGAACAAGCCATTGCGCGACAACTTTTAAAATTCTACGGCACAACGCTTCAAATCGACAGGTTCTAAAATTTCCGATAAGTCAGCCTTATTCTAAAATTCTAAAATATCACGTGAAATAAAAGTATATATATGCAAACCATTTCTTCCCTCCCACGATTGTATGGCCCATTTATTGACGGCAATCACTACTAACCAAAAGTGAATCAGACCGTAATAGGCATGAAAGAGAGTGTTGTGTAGGAACCTACCACCCCTCTTGAAGATGAACTCGTCTACAAACAAGGACGTTAAATAGTGGCATGTCAAAAGACAGTGGGAGAAGTTCTGGGCTGAGTTAGTTATAGACTACTCAGGCGATATCTGTACCAACTTACCAACCGAATAAACCCCATTTTATTGTTACATGTTATTTGGCGTTTGTCTTTATTAACCCCAAATTAACATCATAACAGAGAGAAAAAGAGATCTGAGACGTGGTCATGGGAGTGAGTTTTCACAATGAATGCAAACATTACATAATCTTTACACACATTTTATTTATTTTCCATGTTTGAAAGAAAGTATTTGTTGAACTTAAAGGAAATGCCGGTATCAGCAATCAGTCGTTATGAATATAATTAGAAAATGGAATCATACAATTATTTATTGGAATGAATACTTATATTTGCATCATGCATGGTTCGATGATTTTATTCAGTGGTGTATTTTAATATTTATTTAGAAGTGCTTATAAATACACTTCTTATAAAGTCGCTCCTATCAAAATCAATGTCCAATTCAAATTTCTGTGAGGGTTAAAAAATTAGAAAGAGGTATTTGCATAAATATTTATATATATAAGGTGATGTTTAATATTTCTCTAACTCACTTCCCAAAATTTCTGGTCCCAACAATCATACTGCAGTCAAACGGTGTAACATTTGTCCATGTTTGATGCCTATCACGACTATACTATCTTTTTACCTGTTACATTACATATAAGTTATCCGGTTGAATCAATTTCTCCAAGAAGTGGAGAGCAAATCCATGCTTTTAAATACGATAGCTAAAAATGAAATTAACTTACCAATTGGTACCATCAAAACCCCGAACAAAAGAAAAGACGTCATCATCTACCAAACCGTACTGAAAATCTCCAATACGGAAACCCTGGTCTCTACGAAGTCTGATCAAATTCTTCATGAAATTCAACATGGATGATGCACTGGATAGTTGATTCTATACATGTTGGAAGAAAAATCAATTCATTAAATTTTTTCTTATTTTATTTCAATCATTTATAACAGATGGTGTGGAACACTTGAGCAGCTTTAAGCGTTAAACAAAGTTCCCCATTAAAATATTTTCAAAGTGTGAATACGATTTATAAAAGGAATCCTACTAAAAACAAGTAATCAAAAACCAATTTTTAATATTCCACGGTACAAAGTTTTGGATCGAGACCTAGAATCCCCTACACACCAGCCTTGTGGAATGACAGTACATACTAACAGAATATATAAACTATCTATTCAGTGGCGTAGCTAAGGGGGAGCGAGGGGGAGGACCGCCCCGGGTGCCAGCACAGGAGGGTGACACAATGTCACCCCCAACAAAATTTTTCAACCAGGCTAAGGTGCCAAAAATAGTCTGAAAACAGTGGTGGAGACACAGGGTTTCGCAGGCGGGCATATGACCCCCCAGAAATAATTTATGACCCCCTAGTTTTGTTCCCCCGTCAGAAATTTTCTAATAAATTGTCGGGAAATTTGTGAGTAGGAAAAATAGCAATGTTTTCAGCTTTCATGTGTTTCAGTTGCTACAATCTTGGTTACTAACAAGAGACATTGTTGTAACATTTTATCGGATGATATGGTGTTTTAACTCTGCATCATTAATAACAACAAAGCGAAATACGAAGCCAAAAGGGCAACAATTTCAGTCTTGCCTGTGTATCAATTCGCTGAGATACAATTTTCCATTGAGTGGGTGATATACTTTTCAATATATCTACTAGTGTTGGGACGATTAATCGGAATCGAGAATCGGAAAAATCGGAACTTTTGGGGATATCGGAAACAGTATCGGAATCGGAAAAAATTGTGCCTATTTTCCGATTCCAAAAACGATTCTTTCAATTTTTAACTTAATTTTCCATTATTGGTATTAATGATAAATATTTATTGTTTTTAAATTATCACTAAAACTAAAATCATAATAACATCAAAATACGATGTAAATTTATTTTACTTGTATAAAGAAAAACAAAAAAATAAACTTTGCATAAATTCTCTAGGTAACCTTTAAAAGAATGCAGTTGATTTACAATATTCCGAAAATGCTTAAAAATTAAATAGAACATTTTGTCCAAGAAAAATATTTTTAAACATCATTGATAATTAAATTGTACCCAGAAAATGATGCAACAGAAAATTGGACACCGGAAAATTAGCAACAGAAAATTACGTCAACCATGAGCCAGTCGAGATTGTCGGATCTGGCTGTGCTGTCCATTGAAAACGAGCTTACAAGACAAACAGATTTTGACGATGTCATTGACCAGTTTGCCACAATGAAAACAAGAAAACATTCATTCTAAGACCATAGTATCGAATGTCATTCTTTTGTGTATTGCCGTGTTTTGTATTTAGTTGTTCTGAAAGTAAACAGTTGCATTTTAAAAATCTTTTGATTTGAACTGATTATTTTGTGGTATTGGATTTTGTCTTGGATCATACATGTAAACAGTAACGTACCGGTCAGTAGAGTAAAGTAGAGCATGTATGAAAATTTAACTACAGCTAACCATTCAGCATAGGGTGAATCGTGGTCATTGGGGTGACATTTGAGCGGACCGCCCCGGGTGACGTTTTCTCTAGCTACGCCACTGTATCTATCCTCCCATATATGTAAGTATTGTGTAATGACAGCAATGGCTACGGACCAACAGTAAGGCAGGGTGTAACAGAAGGGTAAGTTGAAGCTGAAAAATATTTTTAAGTTATAGTATAAAAAGAATGTTGACAATATTTGGAAAGCTATTTAAATATCATGCCATCAAATTTTGCAATTGTATTTATTAAAAAATATCGTATTTTTTCGAAACGGAGAAACAAAAAATTAGTACTATGACATCTCTTGGAGTAATTATCAAGTCCTTTTTCTCAGGTAGGTACATGAAGATCATTGCGAATGGCCAGTATTCTGAAGGCCATGAGATCAATACGGATGTCTCCGAAGGCTCTCTCATTGGTCACAGCTTCTTTCTGCTTTTTATTAACGATATGCTTAAGAACAATTCAGATCATTAGTAAAGATGAAGATGATCCTATAGTTTAAGTACACATCTCCCAAAATAAAGATGATCCGAACCTGACATATGATCTCTCTTCTGACCTAGCGTTTACAGTTCAATGAGAGAAAAATGGCTTGTAATTTTCAATACCTCAAAAACCAAACCAGTATTATTTCACCACCACCGATCAAACCTCGAATTTTCTCCAGTCACGATGAACAGCTTATCTCTCAATTAAGATCCTTGTTTTGAACGTGTATTTTGGACTTAAGTTTTCTCAACGGCTCGTGGAATACATAATATACGATCCATTGCTAAAGATGCTGGAAAAATGTACTGCTCCAGGAAGTACACATGTCCATCTGCTATGCTTTATTTTTACAAGAGTTAAAATACGATAAAAATTGAATCTTTCTGTCATATATGGGAGAGAGCTGTTCAATCATTTCCAGCTTTTCACAGACACGCACACACACACACACACATATATATATATATATATATATATATATATATATATATATAAAACGAGAAAAATTTTTCTCTTAGACAAGTTTCATTGAAAATGTCCAACAAGGATTTTTCATTAAACGTTTTAATATATTTTTGTAATTTTGGATACAACTCTTTACTTTCATTTGAAAGCGAAAATAAGAATAGCTACTGGAATTTTTATGAAAAACAATCCCTGACAATTATTCTCAGGTAAAAAATATTTACACACGCACACACATACACACACTCACACACACTTAAAAAAGAAATGAATATTTACCTTCACATTAATAGTTTTATTTTGTTTTAACGGAAGTGATGAGCAAGAAGAATTAGAGAATCCAACATATGAAGTATTGTCCCACAACATCGGATTGCGCCAGGGTTTACTTTTGGTGACAATACTCCAATTCGTTAAGGATACGTCAACCATATCTATTTCGTCTCCATTATAAAGAAACACTGATCCTGGAAGTAGGAAACCAATCATTGTCAGGATTTCTTGCTGCTTAACGTTGTCATTCAGTCGACTTTTAAGGCGGGACGTCATATCGTTGCCCAACTGCAAAGGAAAAAATGGCCCGTAATAACAAATAATAAGCAAAGCAAATGCAGATATATGATGTTATAATCACTGTTTTCTTCATAATCACTGTTTTCTTCACTCACTTGGTAAGTACGGATGTCTTAACGGACAACGAGGAGACTATCCATTGTTGATAGAATGGTGTTGTACTACCATAGGGACAATTTAACAAAACTTTAACCAGCAGGATTATGTGATCAGTCATTTAGAACGACAAAAATTTGGGTGCAACAGATTAAAAGAAGCCGAGTGTAATAATGTTCTATTTAATAATGCTTGAATATAAGTGCTGAAGACGACTAAAGAGCACACCGACCATAATGTTGTAATGAAAACTATAAAAATAAGGCTGTTATTTCGTAAAAGTTGAAAAGGTGTTTGTGTAAATATATTGCTGTATGAGGAGTGTTGATTAGTTCTCGGCCTGATTTACTTCACACAATCAGTATTTCATTGAACAAACATCAGAATACTGGTTTCTAGAAGAGAACTGAGCTATGAAATTTGAATTATCGTATTTGTTTTGTTGATTCGTCGGCTTTTTTGAACAGATGCAATTTGTGTTACTTCAAAATAAGAATTGAAAGTTAAACAATAAAAGAAGAACGTTTTAAGTCAATGAATCAAATG